AAAAAAATTTTCTGGATTTTTAAGTGGGGAATTTTTTTTTTTTTTTTAAAAAAAGAAAAAAATAATAAATGCAAATGAAAAATATATAAAAAATAAAAACAAAAAAAAAAAATAAAAATAAAAAATTTAAATGAAATATAACCCAAAAAATTTTGAAAATGAAAAGTGGTTTAAAAAAAGGTAAAATTTGGAATGGGGTGTAAAAAAGGGCTATAAATAATGGGAGTTTCTATTCGTGTCCCCCCCCCAATAGTAATTGCTGATAAAAGGAACTGTAGAAATAAAATCCTTGTTAAATATTGCCCCTTTTATGGGGCTCCCCTTTTGTTGCCTATTGCTGGGTTTGACCAGCTTTTAGAGGTTTGTATTGATGAGATTCCTTTGGACCTCCCACTGGGTTTTCCTGATTGGTGTCACTTCTAATGTGCTTGTATGGACATGATGATCTCTGACTTCCTTCTGATGCTGGATGTGGCTCCATCTCCGCCTATTTTTCCTCCTCGTTTAGTATAGTGGAAGAAGAAGAGATATTTGGTGCCATTATCGTTTTAATAAAAAAGATTTATATTTAATGCCCTCTATATGCACTCACATGTCAATAATTTCAATGTGCTTTTGTAATAGATAAAACCGCTAAAATGCGGATGTGACAGGCTTCCTCCGTGTGTCTACACACACTGTCTATACTCGCCCCGTTACTGAAGTTGGGTTGCCGTGGTGGATTTAGAGATGAGCGAAGTATTCAAAAATTTGATTCGACTGATTCGGCGAATTCGTGGAAAATATTCGATTCGAGTGGAATATATTCGCTGTGAATTTAACTTAAAAAAGGGTGTTTCTAGGCTTCAAAGAGACTTAATATTAGTGCAGAACAACTGTACCTTTAATTTTAAATGCCCTTGGAGTCTGCTGGGGAAGAGAAATAATACTGTCAGTCAGTATGACATGCAGATGAGTTGCCGTCGATCTTAGAATCACCGCACACTTCACTCATTTGGCCAGTCACGGGGCCAAAAACCAGTGTTTGGAGCCACAGTGTGGCGCGGTGGAGGCAGCAGCAATGGGAGGCCATACAGCAACCTATGACAAAATGGAAACCAGCAGGAGTGTGAGGAGACCTGAAAGTGGCACATGGCAGAGTGGGAAGCAATGGGAGGCGGTACAGGGACCCATGTCACACTGTGGGCCCCAGCAGCAGCGTGACCAGGCGGTACGGGGGCCCATGGCAGATTTGGGCCTGGCCGGCACCTATGGGAGGCCTGTAATCTGCCAGCAACCTATGACAAAATGGAAAACCGCAGGAGTGTGAGGAGACCTCAAAGTGGCACATGGCAGAGTGGGAGCAATGGGAGGCAGTTACAGGGACCCAGGTCACACTGTGGGCCCAGCAGCAGCGTGACCAGGCGGTACGGGGGCCCATAGCAGATTTGGGGCCTGGCGGCACCTATGGGAGGCCTGTAATCTGCCAGCAACCTATGACAAAATGGAAAACCGCAGGAGTGTGAGGAGACCTCAAAGTGGCACATGGCAGAGTGGAGCAATGGGAGGCGGTACAGGGACCCAGGTCACACTGTGGGCCCAGCAGCAGCAGTGACCAGGCGGTAACGGGGGCCCATGGCAGATTTGGGGCCTGGCGGCACCTATGGGAGGGCCTGTAATCTGCCAGCAACCTATGACAAAATGGAAAACCGCAGGAGTGTGAGGAGACCTCAAAGTGGCACATGGCAGAGTGGGAGCAATGGGAGGCGGTACAGGGACCCAGGTCACACTGTGGGCCCAGCAGCAGCGTGACCAGGCGGTACGGGGGCCCATGGCAGATTTGGGGCCTGGCAGCACCTATGGGAGGCCTGTAATCTGCCAGCAACCTATGACAAAATGGAAAACCGCAGGAGTGTGAGGAGACCTCAAAGTGGCACATGGCAGAGTGGGAGCAATGGGAGGCGGTACAGGGACCCAGGTCACACTGTGGGCCCAGCAGCAGCGTGACCAGGCGGTACGGGGGCCCATGGCAGATTTGGGGCCTGGCAGCACCTATGGGAGGCCTGTAATCTGCCAGCAACCTATGACAAAATGGAAAACCGCAGGAGTGTGAGGAGACCTCAAAGTGGCACATGGCAGAGTGGGAGCAATGGGAGGCGGTACAGGGACCCAGGTCACACTGTGGACCCAGCAGCAGCGTGACCAGGGCGGTACGGGGGCCCATGGCAGATTTGGGGGCCTGGCAGCACTATGGGAGGCCTGTAATCTGCAGCAACCTATGACAAAATGGAAAACCGCAGCAGTGTGAGGAGACCTCAAAGTGGCACATGGCAGAGTGTGGCGTTGGAGATGGCAGCAATGGGAGGCGGTACAGGGGACCCATGACACACTGTGGACCCAGCAGCAGCGTGACCAGGCGGTACAGGGGCCCATGGCAGATTTGCGGGCCTGGCAGCAGCAATGTGAGGCCCGTAATCTGCCAGCATCCTATGACAAAATGGAACCCAGCAGCAGTGTGAGGAGACCTGATAGTGGCACATGGCAGAGTGTGGCGTTGGAGATAGCAGCAATGGGAGGCGGTACAGGGACCCATGACACACTGTGGACCTGGCAGCAGCGTGAGGAGGCGGTACAGGGGCCCATGGCAGATTAGGGGCCTGGCCGCAGCAATGTGAGAGGCCCGTAATCTGCCAGCACCCTATGACAAAATGAAACACACCAGCAGTGTGAGGAGACCTGAAAGTGGCACATGGCATGACACACTGTGGACCTTGCAGCGTGAGGAGGAGGCGTGAGGCAGGCGGTACAGGGGCCCATGGCAGATTAGGGGCTAGGGGTTATTGATTGGGGCCAGGCCGCAGCAATGTGAGGCCCGTAATCTGCCAGCACCCTATGACAAAATGAAACACACCAGCAGTGTGAGGAGACCTGAAAGTGGCACATGGCATGACACACTGTGGACCTTGCAGCAGCGTGAGGAGGCGGTACAGGGGCCCATGGCAGATTAGGGGCCTGGCAGCAGCTATGGGAGGCCTGTAATCTGCCAGCACCCTATGACAAAATGAAACAGAGAAACAACACCAGCAGCAGTGTGCGGAGACCTGAAAGTGGCACATGTTTGGGGCATGATTCACGGCGGATTTAGTCAGTTGTGTCAGGAACTGGTGGTTTGAAATCCAGACTAATCCACGCCTGATTCATTTTCACAAACGTGAGTCTCTCCACACTTTGGGTGGACAGTCGTGTCCTCCGCGGAGTTACAATACCTCCTGCCGCACTAAACACGCGCTCCGATGCCACGCTACTGGCCGGGCATGACAGCCTTTCAAGGGCAAATTCAGCTAGTTGGGGCCAAAGGTCAAGTTTCGTTGCCCAGTAGTCAAGGGGATTGTCTACCTCGGTTGGCAGGGTGCTGTCCAAGTAGGCCCAAGCCTGTTGTTTGAGCTCCTGCTCCAGGTCCACCTGATGCTGCTGCTGCTGCTGCTGCGGCGGGCTGGTTAGTAGTTTCCTCACTGCGCTGGTGAAGAAAGCTACTCATCATCGACTGCAGACTGAGGCAGCCGCTGCTGGTGGAGCTGCCACTGCTCCTACCACCCCACCCCTCCCCTGCTGCCATGGCAGCGGAACGCGAGCGCACAGGGCCCACAGTGTCTGAGGATGGACGTTGGCGCACAAAGGCAGAGACCAACTGACTACATAGGTGGTTTTTATAGTACGTAATTTTGGCCTCCCTCTCAGCAGGTGTGAAAAAGGCCACCATTTTGGAACGGTAGCAAGGGTCCAACAGGTGGACAGCCAAAAGTCATCCCTCTGTCTGATGGTTATTATTCGGCTGTCGCTACGCAAGCAACCGAGCATGCTATGGGCCATTTGTGCCAAGGAATGCGAGGGACTCCCTGCCTCCATCTCCACAGCATACTGCCACGGTGCGTCTGGGTCCTCTGTCTCCTCCTCCTCCTCTACCAGATGCTCCTGCTCCTCCACTCCTGTCCGCTGAGTGGAAAAACCACCCATTTCACTCAATAATTCCTGAGCACCAATGTCCTCCTCTACCTCCTCCTCTTCTTCCTGTCCTGCCCCCACAGGGGTCATGTGGCGTTGAGATCTGTGCGCCACGTCTACCGCACCCTGACCAGCCATTGTTAACAGCATTTGTTCCAGGACGTGCAACAGAGGAATGACGTCGTTCATCCCATAGTCCTGCCGACTCACGAATAGCGTGGCCTCCTCAAAGGGCCTGAGCAAGCGGCAGGTGTCACGCATGAGCTGCCAATGGCTGACATCTAAGTTACACAGGGGAGTACCTTTATCCGCTTGTAACATCAGGAAATCGGTGATGGCCTTTCACTGCTCGTAAAGGCGGTCTAACATGTGTAGGGTTGAATTCCACCTTGTTGCAACGTCGCAGATCAGGCGATGCTGTGGAATTCCGTTCTGCCGCTGCAGCTCAAGGAGGGTGTGCTTTGCGGTGTAGGAATGGCTGAAATGCATGCAAAGTTTACGTGACATTTTAAGGATGTCTTGCAGTGGGATGGTGGATTTTAGGAACCGCTTGACAACCAGATTGAACACGTGAGCCATGCATGGCGCATGGCACAACCTTCCTTGACGCAGAGCAGACACCATGTTCTTTCCGTTGTCGGTCAACATGGTTCCGATTTTCAGTTTGCGCGGAGACAGCCATCTGTCGATTTCTCTGTTCATTACACTCAGAAGTTCCTCCCCTGTGTGACTATGTTTGCCAAGGCATACCAGGTGCAGCACAGCGTGACACCGTTGCGCCCTGCACATGTGATATGCCGGTCGGGTAATGGGACTTGGCACGGGGGTGGCGGCTGAGGACACGGCGGAAGAAGAGATGGTAGAGGCGGACATGTTTGCTGGACCAAGGACGTGCAAACGTGGAGGCAAAAGCGTCGTGACCTGTCCAAGTTGCTGGTGCGGCTGTGCCGGCACCACGTTCACCCAGTGGGCCGTAAATGACATGTACTGTCCCTGACCGTAGTTACAGCTCCACACGTCGGCGCTGCCGTGCACTTTGGCAGAGACCGACATGCTCAAAGACTGGCCCACCATCTCTTCTACATGTGAATGCAGGGCTGGCACTGCCTTTTTGGCGAAGAAATGACGGCTTGGCACTCTCCACCGCGGCGCGGCACAAGCCATCATTTCTCGGAAAGGTGCTGAGTCCACCAGTTGGAAAGGGAGGGACTGCAGCACCAGCAACTTGGACAGAGGACGTTCAGCTTTTGCACCGTCGGGTGCGTGCTCGCAAACTGTTGTCTCTTGGAAACGGATTCCAAGAAAGACTGCTGACGGAATCCGAGAAGAGGAGTAGCAGGAGAAGGAGCATCTGAACGAGCGGAAGATGCCAACGAGCGACAACTCCCCTCAGCAGAGGTGTTGGAGCCTTGACTGGCTGATAGAGGGCGATTGACGTCGGGTGACGGAGCAAGTAATGGAGCGGGTGATGGAGCAGGGGCTGGGGCAGGCAGAACCGCCGTATCTTTATCACGGTTTTCCCAGGCCACCGAATGGCGACGCTGCATATGCTGACGCAACGCTGTAGTCCCAACATGGGCCCCCTGGCCACGCTTGACTTTCTGGCCACATAGTCGACATACGGCTACGTTTACTTCCTCGGGCGGCTTGACGAAAAATTGCCACACCTCCGAGTAGGAAACTTTGCCCCCGCTACTCCTCACTGGCTGACTGCTACTTCCTCCGTGCGCACCGGCACCACTACTGGCCGTGGTGGTAGGCTGCAGTGGAGCTGGTGCTCTACTCCGTGGGCCGTTTGGCTCCACTGACACTGCTGCGACCCTGCTGCCTCCTGGGCAACCCACCGACTGTTTCGCTCGCTGCCAAGCTGGCACCCTCTTCTCCTGATGATGCGGAAGAAATTACCTGATGACGACGAGGCTGCCAAGTGCGATCAACCTCCTCATCATCAAGTAGGGTCTCCGCCTCACTACTAGCCCCCTCGGCTGCGTCTGGGTCAGGAGACAGACCTGTCTCTAGACCGGCTACCGAGCCACTCTCCTCGCCAGTACTTCTTCGCCTGGCTGCTGAAAAGGCGGATGTCTCCCCCCATTCCTGACCGCCCTCTGTTAGCTCTTCCTCACTGTACAGTGGGGCTGAGCCCACAGCATGCGATACTTCGCTTGGTGAGGGAACAGCAAAGGACAGGGGCAGGTAGAGGACACGTGATTTCAGTGGGCTTGCTCCCGGGCCATGCCAACTAACGGTTGTGTCTGACGTACCCACCGACCGTTGGCTGTAGGTGTCAGAGGTGACCTGGGAAGAGGAAGACGACCGAGCCAACCAATCGATGACGGCAGGGTTGTCGGTTGAGACACGACCGCTGGATGACACCGGGAGCACTGGCCTCTGGCTGCGACTAGTGCTGCCTCGACCCCTCCTCTGCTGCCACGTCTGCTCGCTCCTAAAACATTGCCTCCTCTGCCACTCCTCTGCATGTTGTCTGACATACTCTTTAATTCAACGATTCTGTGTCCCTGAGTAACAATTCTGTGTCCCTGAGTAACAATTCTGTGTCTGTCCCTGAGTAACAATTCTGTGGCCCTGAGTAACAATTCTGTGTCCCTCAGTAACAATTCTGTGTCCCTGAGTAACGTTTCTGTGGCCCTAAGTAACGGTTCTGTGGCACTCAGTAACAATTCTGTGGCCCTCAGTAACAATTCTGTGTCTGTCCCTGAGCAACAATTCTGTGGCCCTAACTAACGTTTCTGTGGCCCTAAGTAACGGTTCTGTGGCCCTCAGTAACAATTCTGTGTCCCTCAGTAACAATTCTGTGTCTGTCCCTGAGTAAACAATTCTGTGGCCCTAAGTAACGGTTCTGTGGCCCTCAGTAACAATTCTGTGTCCCTGAGTAACAATTCTGTGGCCCTAAGTAACAATTCTGTGTCCCTCAGTAACAATTCTGTGTCTGTCCCTGAGTAACAATTATGTGGCCCTAAGGAACGGTTCTGTGGCCC